AAAAAAAAAAAAAAATCCCGGCCGGTTGCCAATCGCGCATTATAATCAAAAACCGTCCTGTTCCGAATTATGGCCGGTCAACCGGTGCATCCCTAATTAATTATATGAATGTACCTCTGAAGGTTCTGACTGTCTTCGGAAACGATTCGATGGCATTTTGTTTTCATCTTCGCTCCATGTAATACCTAAAGGAAGTGTTCTTAATCGCAATGCTGCTTTGTCCATTGAGTTTACGGGAAAATTCCATTTTTCCATAAGCGCCACCTGCTGTCAGCGAGTGGATTTACAGAGACTTATATTTACATTCAGTCTGTGTGCAGTTTCTGTCTGGCCAAAAACGGACCGAACTTGCATGCCCTGCTGTAAATTTTGACCGGTTGATGAAAAACAAGCTTATGTGGATTCTACACATTTAAACAATTCAGATAAGTTATGTAGAATTATTTATGGAGCAGATAAAATACATATAATCATTTATTAATCAATTATCTTTTTGACATATCTTTTCTTAATTTAAAGGCTGAAATGTGAGGTTTACCTTTTTATTAAACTTTTTCAAAGCGTTGAACATTTACATTAGATATTTCAACATGCTGTTAAACTGTTGTCAGTCAAGTTGTCATTTAAAATCCTAACATCATTGGTAATGTTATTGTTTTAATGATTATGCAAACAAAAAGTCATTTTATTTGTTGTTGTTTTTTTTTTTATCTAAAACTTGAAGTGATTTATGTGTCTGTACTTTTTTTAACATCTCCAGCACATTTGAACAATACCGTGATAATTAGGGCTGGGTATCGATTCAGATGTTCCAATTCGATTCGATTTCAATTTTCAAGCTCTCAATTCGATTCGAATTTGATATTCGATTTCGATTCTCGATTCGATTTGAATATATGAATGAATATAGATTTAATACAAATCCTATATTTATAAAAACAGTGAACATAAGATTATAAATGGTTAATTAATAAAAGGAAATTAAGAGCCACAAACCTGTATATTAAACACTTTTTATTTTAGGTACACTTGGGTACAATAAAACAAAACCCAACTCTATATTTCAAATGCATACAATGAATAGACAGAATTTTGATGCAAGATGAAAAACTGATGCTGAAAATTGGACAAGTCAGAACAGTCGCATGCCTTGATCAAACAGGATCAGGTTATTTTATGTTTAAGATATATAAAACAAACATAACATCTTACAGCATTAGCTGTAACATGGAGGCTGCAAGCCTATGAACGGTGTAGGAAAACTAATTAGTTCACCCAAAAATAAAAATTCTGTCATCGTTTATGCATGCATGAATTTATTTTCTTCTGTTGAACACAAAAGAAGATATTTTGAAGAATATGGATAACCAAACTGTGTTGGTCCCCATTGACTTCCATATATTTTTCTCCATACTATGGAAGTCAATTCAATAGGGCCCATCAACTGTTTGGTTTACCCATATTCTTCAAAATATCTTCATTTGTGTTCAACATAAGAAAGAAATTCATACAGGATGAATACATTCATACATGATGACAGAATTTTCATTATTGGGTGAACTAACACTTTAACACTGGACTAACAGTAGGCTCAAAGTACAGACTACTGCCTCATTGGAAACTGTAATTTTTTTGCAAGAAAAGGAGTTGGTCAACGTGCTCTGGCAGAAGGCAACTTCTTTGAGCTGTAATAATGTCTCCAGCTGTGGAAAAAATTCTTTCAGCTGGTACACTGGTCCCTGGAACACAAAGATAGCATTTTGCCTGGAGGGACAAAAGTGGGTACACTCCTTCATGCTTACACCACCACTTAAGTGGATCATCTGAGAGAGGTATAGGTGTAACTTCTCTGTATTTGACAACTTATTCCCGTGCCCTGTCTGCAGCAGTAGCACTGACTACTTTAGCCACTGGTGCATAGGCTGCCCCAAGCAGATCCAACAGCGCTCAGGATACTTTTGACCTCTTTGGTGGGGCTGGGGAGGGGTCACCTTCACCAAGGGATTTTTGCTCCTGTACAGGTGCACTGCCTCCATTACCAGCACTATCAGATCCTTGCTGCTGATAGTTAAAAACAATTTTATTTGAATTTAATGTTGCCCATCTCCACCATACAGAAATGTTATTATTTTACTTTAATTTATTATATTTATATGCAGTTAATAAATATTGGTTTGTTTACATTTTTAGTTATAAAACTTTATGCAACATACATCATGTGCCTTAACTTGCTCCAGAGTGACCATCTCACTGATCAATGTTGTGAATGTGTCCTCGCGTTCCTCTTCAGAGATGAAAGGAAGAGTCTTGAAACGAGGGTCCAGGGCAGACACAACATGCAGCTTCTCTTTTAGATTTGCATATCTTTAAAGATTAGACAATCACATTTAAATTACATTATGGCATCAACATACACAAACTTACAATTAACAAGAATGTAATGTGTTGTAACATTCACACAAATTTTACATTTTATAGATAGTACTTGCTGTTTTTGTAAACATACCTAAACTTCAAGTTGTCATGCACGGCAGATTTGAGTTCCTTAATAACAGTCGAATCACTGGCAGTCGAGCGCATCTCATCAAGGAGCTGTGCATGCAATGGTGCAATAATAGAGAGAGTAGCGGTGTTCTCTCCAGACATCACCAGAGTTGCACTTTTCATCGGCTGAAGAGCTTTCACGATGTCATCTGCCACAGTTATATCTGCCTCTGTCAAAGTGCAAAGATCCTTTTCACTCCGACGGACTTCAGGAGAAAGAAGTGCAGCTGAGATTGCTGGTTGCTGCTGCAAAAATCTGTCGAGCATGTGTGACTAGCCTGCATAGCTCTGGTCTGCAACACATTTGAAATGAGAACCCAGTCATCACGTAAATAGTGGTAGGTGATTGTGACATAGGTGTCTTGACTCCTTGACGTCCAGCCATCGCACGTGAGGGGCACTCTGTCCGCTGACTGAAGGGACAGAGAAATGTTTCCCTTCACTTCATGGTACAGTCTTGGTATAATCTCTTTGCTTATCTGTTTACGACTAGGAATAGAATAACGAGGCTTAGAACATCCATATGTTGCAGAGGTATCAGCATGTAATATGCACTCTCAGTTAGATCATCCGAAGACGAATTCATAGATACTAGACATGGTAGAGTTACTTATATGAATGAGTGGTTTATCGTAAGCATGAATAAAAATAGTCTATAATACAACAGATTAAATACAAAACAGCAATAATACACACAATGGCCTGAAGAAAATGTGTGTTCATTCAAAGAAAAGGTTTTCCTATGAATTAATTAGTAGAACAGTCCATTTCTCCTGTGCATTTTTACCCCTTGTTTCTGGAGAAAGCAGAATGAGAGCCGGCTCGCATTCCACAAGGTTGTAACTGTATCGGGTTACCATGAAACCAGGGTCTTGTTCGGCGTCCTGGGGTGTTACAAAGTATTTGTGAAATCTAGCTAACAAAATATATATTGTGTGTTGGAGTGGTCCAGACGCTACAAGCACATTCAACATGTAACGGAATCCGTCATTTTCGACAGCGCTGTATGGCCTTAGATCTTTGCAAATATGAAATGCAATCGATTCAGTGATCTTTTGTGCACGAGGTAAATTGTGAGGAATTTTGCTTGTGAATGCTTTTGAAATCTTCAGTTGTCTGTTCGGCAATGGGGGTGTTAGAACCTGCACGTCTGGGTGATGTCTCGTCAAAAGGCTCCGCAGATTTGTAGTATTACTACAGCATTTCACCTCAGAATTACAAATCAAGCATATAGCTTTGTTCTTGTCCACAGTATCTTTGTCATCATGCTTGTGAAATCTAAAATGCTTCAATACCTCTGACTTTTTATGTGAAGGTGGTGTTGACATCGGGAATGCACCTGAATCCGCCATTTTAAGCAATGAATGAATGACGGACTCTCCGTTGTAACATCGCGCAAGGCAAATAAGGGGGTGACATCTAGTGGATTAGACTAGTAATAAGATTAACGTAAATCTTATGTTCAATGTTTGCGGAAATAAATATTGAAAAAATCGATTCATGGCCTTTGAGAATCGATATTGAATCGACCACATTTAAAAAAAACAATATATCGAAAAATCTATTTTTTTTGCCCAGCCCTAGTGACAATTTTGGTCACTATAACCATGGTAAGAAATGTTCATACCGTTACATCCCTAGTGTGTATGTGTATATACTGTATGTGTGTATATATATGTATGTGTATATGTATGTATATACAGTGGGTACAGAAAGTATTCAGACCCCCTTAAATTTTTCACTCTTTGTTATATTGCAGCCATTTGCTAAAATCATTTAAGTTAATTTTTTTTCCTCATTAATGTACACACAGCACCCAATATTGACAGAAAAACACAGAATTGTTGACATTTTTGCAAATTTATTAAAAAAGAAAAACTGAAATATCACATGGTCCTAAGTATTCAGACCCTTTGCTGTGACACTCATATATTTAACTCAGGTGCTGTCCATTTCTTCTGATCATCCTTGAGATGGTTCTACACCTTCATTTGAGTCCAGCTGTGTTTGATTATACTGATTGGACTTGATTAGGAAAGCCACACACCTGTCTATATAAGACCTTACAGCTCACAGTGCAAGTCTGAGCAAATGAGAATCATGAGGTCAAAAGAACTGCCTGAAGAGCTCAGAGACAGAATTGTGGCAAGGCACAGAACTGGCCAAGGTTA